GTGAGAATATATATTTTGTATTTTTATTTTTATTTTTTTATATTAGAGGACATACAGAAATAGGTCGTTTGCAATCGATGTGTGACATGAAGGATGACAACAAGTTTTTTTTTTTTTTCCGTAATTATTTGGTATATTTGTGATAATATATATATATATATTTTTCTTTTTTCTTTTTGCTCTGCACTGTCCCTGCCCGACACCCTGTCTGGGGACGACGCATGACTGCTCACATATGCGTGTGTACGCAGACAAAAGTCGACCTCATAGGCCGACTTTCTCGTCCTACATTATATGTATATAATTTGTTTTTCCATTGTTTTCGATGTTTGTTGAACTTCAGACTAGACGGCGATAACTGTGTTTCGTAATCAGCTGCATCTCACAGGCGGAAGAAGGTATGTCGGCCTCACATGATATCATTGTAGTAGAGACGGTGATGCAGTTTGCCACGCCCTCTGTGCATTATAACTCCGACGCCGAATTGCAGGACTTGAGACAGAGGGTTCCTCGTTATTTTCATGTGTATATCGATGTCGATGCAACCGTTGCTCGCAACCTCGACAACATGCAGGATGCAAGCGTCTTTCTGGACAGGCTGCATCACTGACCCCTCTTAGAAAGGCAACGGTTTCCCACCCCAAGAGACCGATTGACATACAATCTTACACAGCGAAACCATTTCTGGATTGGATCACAGAACAGGAGGATGTCGATATGAATAAACACCAAAAGGGTGGCATGTACACAAAACCCGCGTTTAGGAAAAAACTGCAATCGAAGATACGTGCCGCATAATTGAGGCTACCCTTCAATGCCGCCCTGTTGAAACCGTTTGCGGCCGAGGTGTTATCCTTGTCGCAGTTGCCCTTAAAAAATTGTGTGCAATCCGCTTGTCTTGGAGAGTTGCCTGTCATTGTTGCTGATGGAATTGAGTACTTCCTTCTGGATCAAATTATGGATTTGACCAGGAGAAGTAAATGCGATAGAAATGTCATTCACTGCATCCTCCATCCTGTGATCACAGATGTGCTTGCAGGAGGGGAAACAATGACTTACTCCTTAGCTCCTCCTCTTATGTGCAATGCAATGTCAACCTTAGTTCAAGATTGTGTAATCGAGTGCGCAGCACAAGCCATATGTGCAGCTCCTACAGAGGTTGATAGGCAGCGCAAGCGACAACAGGGTTGGGATCTCGTCCCCGCAGAGTGTAAGAAGAGCTGTGTAGAGGAGGAGGAGGACAGTAGTGATCGTAATCATCAACAAACCAAACTTGTTGTGGCCATGTTCAGAGGGGAGAGCGGTTCAGAGAAAGTAACAAAGCACGATGTGAAAGCAGAGGATTTAATCCTGCAGTGGACGCTCCAGAACTCGTCTCATTCCTCTAGCCAGGAAGAGAATCCTACCCCCAGCAAAGCCGTGGAGAGAAAATTTGAGAGGTCATTTGTTTATGATGGTGACAACAGAGAAAACTCTGTTATCATGTCGCAACATTTTCGCACATTTGATGGCAGAGGGCAGGGTGAGGGAGAGGAGGCATTTGATGCACAAGTGGACACGGAAAGTTTCGACATCTTCAACGAGAAACTTGTTGCAGATGCGTACATCGACGAGGACTTCTGCAAGATTCCGTAGTCAAAGGACAACATTGAAGTAGGATGGTGTCATGCCGTGCTGAGGTTGGCAAAGCACTATAGTGAGCCGCATCCCGCTTTACGTATCGTTGATGGATTGGCGTCCCCCGATGGAAAGCTAATGCAGCTAGCAGTCTCATCACTCATGAGAACATGTCAGACGAGGAAGGACTTTTCCTGTGGTGGGAAGTCATGGCTTGTGCTGGTAAAATAAAAAGGTTGTTATGTGTACATACGAAGGATGGGGCGATAACCTGGGTTGTGTAGTTGCTGGAGCAGTTGCTCGTGCTGATGGTCATGATGTCCACCCTGGTTTGTCAAATGCTACAGCTATCTTGTCTACTATCTCCAGAAATCTAGGGCCCGGT